TATACAAGTGTCCAATATCTTCACAAAACTTTCAAAATGGTAATTTAACTGGATTTGCTAAAATAGCGGTCTACAATCTTTTTGGCACCAGGGACTGGTGCTCCTATGAGATTCTAATGCCTGATGATCTGAGGTGGAGCTGAGGCAGTGATGCTAGCGCTGGGGAGCGGCTGCAAATACAGATGAAGCTTTCTTTGCTCCCTGGTGGCTCGCCCTCCTGCTGTGCAGCCCTGCTCCTAATAGGCCATGGACCAATACAGGTCCATGGCCCTGGGGTTGGGGACCCCTGTGTTAAAAGGAGAGAGTATGTTTAGAAAAATGCTGTTTTCCAATGAGGTCACTCTAAATGGATTCTTTATTCAGTTTCATAATTAGTTTCAACTTTGCACATGGCTGACACAAAAAAGATAAGGAAAAGCATGAGGCCAATTATAAAAGTTATAAATATACAGTAATATCAAAATCATATTTCATATCTCTAAAATTACAAATAAAAACAGTTCATAGAGACACAAATAGATTTTTAAAAGCATATTATAAACAAATGTTAGAGTAACTAGATTTTAAGGTATTAACTTTTTTCACATTTTAACTAGATGTATTCAAATAGATTGTTCATTTAAAGGTTCTGCCCCACAGATCCCAAAAAACTATTATTGACGGTATTTTTAAATCATTGGAATTTCTCTGGATCCCAGGCTCAACTGTTGCCTTAACCCTTAATTTACAGAACGTTCTGAAAACAATGCACTTGTGTTATATTTACTTTATAGTGATAAACAGATCAATTTAATTTGTAATTAACAGCATCAATTTGCACAGTTCACTAAGTCCTGAAAAAATTTGTTCTCAAATATATTAACTATGCCCAAATCGTGTTGTTTATAGTATTAATTAGATTAGCGGACCCCTTTCTCCACATCATTGAACACTGACATTTAATCATAATAACTTTCAATTAATGACACTGAATTAATGAGGTTTTACTATACTCAAATGGAAAACAGATACATAGAATAACTCAACTGATGGTAAAAAATATTCAGTAAAATAAATTCACAATAAGCTCTTAACAACTGCAAAGAAACAGCATTAGTTAATACTCCGTCTTTGTTTTCTTTTTACTTATTACCAGTCTCTTCAGCTAGAAACACTGGTGGCTTGAATCTTTACTTAATATTTTACTTAGATACCTCTTCTTGCTTATATGATCTTAGATATCTTACCAGAACTTCCCTATGTGTACTTTTTCTACACAAACAGTACATAAGTTGACAATACACAGAAAGACAGCTCCTTTTCTAGGACTCCCCACAGCCAAAAGCAACCTGACAAGAAGGCCCTACCCAGAGTCTTTGAGAAATTTCCCAAAACTCTACCCAGGAATTTATCCCTTAACAACCTGCCATGGTGTCTGGAATTTCTACCATTAAAATTAGTTCAGGTGAAGGTAAAAGGCCCATTACAAAATACTAGGAGATGGGAACAGAGGTAAGGGCAGATGTAACAAAGCAACACAATGGCCACATATGGTTTAATTTCCTCCAAGTATTTAGCTGTCATTTACCAAAGTCCTACAGCCAGAAGGAATGTTAGGGCCAGATGAGAAGTTAAAGGCAGGAACAGGCAAGGAGAAATGAAGAGAAGCTGAAGTTTGGAAAAAGGTCTGTGGAGCACCACTGCAGGAAAAAAAGACTATCGTGTGTTGTGGGGGAGAAGAGAGGAGTAGCTATTCTATTTATTGCCCTCGGTCTTTGTCCTTATATTATGTAACATTTCTTTTCCAAAAATGTAAAAGAATAAATGAATCAAATTATTCTGATTTCAAACAAATGGCATTACTAAGATGTTCTCTCCGAATTTTTATACTTTCCATTATTTTTATCCAAAAACAGTCAAAATGAAACAGCACTAGTTCTGCTAAATGAAGTAACTTTTTTTGACGTAATCTAAATGAATGCTTTTCATCTCCGATGCTGCCATTCATTTCCTTTCACTTTTAAGGTTTAGAAAACTGATCAGGGTCTCTAAATACACTCTAGAAGATGCTGCAAACCTGAAACATTACACAGTTAGTTGAAACAAACTCAACCTACCTTTCTAAAGTTGCATTCTGGAAGTAAAAGTCAAGAAAGCTGTCACGTCATGGTATTACTACAAACACAACCACAGCACACCTTTATTTGTAAATAGCAATTTGTAACAAAAGCCACATACTAATGAAGGTAACTATAAACAACAGCATGGCACACCATGGTAATAATGATCCAAATACCTCTTATTTCTCTGTGTAAGTGAATACCTTTAACTGTACTTGGTTAAAAGAGAGAAAGTAAGTGTAGGTAACACAGAGACTTCCACAAGGATAATTCCTTTCCTGATTTAAAGAATAAGTCAATCTCAGAGCACTGAGATAAAGTTCTAGCAAAATTTAAAGTCAAGTCATGGTTTCATGAACTGTCTTATCTTTCTATAAATATGAAAAATTGTTTGGTAATGTTTCATCATACATGTACTTTTTATTCACTAAGCATGTGTATACATATTCAAAGGGAACTGCTATTTCATAGTAGATGGATCATCAAAACAGATCATCTCGAATGATTAATTGTAAAAATCATGCAAATGACAAAATGTTGAATCCAACACTTGATGCTTGTTAAGCCAAAAATATAAAATCTATAAGAAAACATAAAACAGTGTGTCCACCTTAAAAATCACAACTCATCAATAAAACTTTTTTTTATAAACAAAATTTCACCATTTCACATCACTCTATCAAAACAAAAGCAAAATTAACTTTTCCTATTTTGAACCTATTACCCACATTTGCATTCCAATTCTGCAATATGTAAAACAATTTTTTGTAATTATGACTAAGTATGTATACTTATAATGTAAAGCCATTTATAATATATATAATATAGCACTAGAAAAAAAGTAAGACAAAACAGCCATGGAATGGTTGAATGGACTCTCACATTAACTGGTAAAAATACCAAGCCCGAATGTATGAACAAACATTTTTATATTCATCAATTGATAATTCATCAATAGATAATTTTACATTTACATTAAGAATATACACTTTGTGATTTAAAATAGGGAATGTGATCTTGTGTGTGCAGGAGTGTTTTTTAATTGCTGACACATTTACTACTATCATTTGAATGGCAAGCTTTACATTAATTGTTTTGAAAACAGGTGCTCTTAACATACAGTTTGGAGTTACATCTAAATTTCACAAGTTAGGGAGAGATTTGTTATTCTAATAGTTCAGCAACAGGTCTTAATATTTTTAAATGTCAATAAAAGCCCTTAATACAAACATGGTTCTTTTGAATGAATCTGAATTGACCGTTTACAGGAGGATCCATGCCTGCAGAAAGAATAGCTGTGCATCTATCTGTAGTCCTATTTTGCAGAGATATGTCCTTATTTTGACGGGTCTATGAATACTGCACTTTTTTAAAAATAAGCAAACAAAATAAGATATTTTATTCTTTTTCTTAAAAAAGGAAACCATATTTCCCCCAACGCCACGAGAAAACACACACACACACAACTTTAAAAAACTGAGCAAATGTGAATGGAGCAATGAACAGTTTTGAAGCCCCAGAATGACTTCTGTTATCACCATCTTTAGGCTGCTGGGTTACTTCACCTAAGGGCTCATGATGCAAATGACTTTATTGCTTTGCACTCTACTTGCATGCTCTAGCCACATTAGATACTATCTCTATTTCTGTTCTACACAACACACAGACGCTCATACACATACACACACGCAAACACAAACACTCGCCAGCGTTGCTTCCAATTCCAGAGGCCCGCTCTGAACCTAGCACATACCCAACCCAGCTCTGCTGTGTCCTGACCCCAGGAATAAGGGATACTACTTAATCCTGGTGGATCTGCTCTGTTGTCTCATCCTTCCAGGATTCGTAGGACGGTTCTTCCACACTCCACCGCGGAATAAAAGGACGGCGGATGCCCCAGTGCATCAGAGAATGAGACCACTGCCTGTCCCTTTCCTCGCCCTAAGTGTCCCGACTTCTCTCCGCCAGCAACCCCAGAGCCAATCCTGCCAGGAGTAGACGATCCCGGGCCCAGGGAGAACCAAACGGCCCATTAACAAGGAGGTGCCAGGGACACGGGGAAACGAGCGGGGCGAGTTCACCACTGGGGAGGTGTGCTCCACCACTGGGGAACCATTCAAGAGCAATGACAGGTCCGCGGGGGAAGGCCGGGGGTGGCGAAGGAGGTTAGAGAGATGCTTTTCGTGTCTTTTCTCAGGACCTGCGGGGGAATCCCGCGGTGGCGGCAGAGGGACTCTCGGGTCGTTCCCGGCCTCCTGCGCGCCCCTCGCGTCCCCTCCGCCACCCGCTCCGCCTGAGGCCGCCCCCGCCCCACGCGGAAGGCAACGCCGGGCTCCCCCCACGCTCTCCCGCTCTCTCGCGAGTCCTGTGCAGGCCCTTCCAGGGGGAGGGGGAGGGGGCGCGGAGGGAATTGCTGCAATGGAGCGCCGAGAGAACCCTGCCCTAGCCAGGCAGTCGGTGGAAAGCCACAACCACATAAAAATGCCATATTAATTTTTTAAAAGCCATAAATCACCCCTCCCTCTGCAAAAGAAAACCATAAACCCGATCCTATGCAAGCCTGCGAGCAGCCACCCACTTCCTATTTCTGTCACAGCAGCTACACCCTGCCAGCAACCACCCCCCGGGCGCCCCCTCCCGCCACCGCCACCCCCGCAGCCACCTCCCCGAGGCTCAGCCATTTGCCAACTGACGCCCCCGTAAATAAAAATGCCCCAACTTAAGGCTGGGTGGGAGGCGTGGGGTAAGGGCGCGCGAAGGAGGGGGTGCGAGGGTTGCACAATATCCTAGAAGGTCCGTGGCTGGAGCCGGGAGAGAACCCAGGGCGGGGGAGGGGAGGCAAGCTGCCCGGGTGCCTGCGGCACACACGGTGCACCCCGGCGCCCGCGGCGTGCCGCTTACCTTTCACCACCCTGTCCGTCGTCGACAACTTGGGATCAATTGCCTTGGGCTCGGACATCTCCAGCCGCCGGGAGACAGCGACGCGCTGCTCGTCCGTCCTACTGCACACCCCGACCGGACCGGCGGGCCAGACACTAAGCGCCGCCGCTGCCGCCGCCGCGCTGCAAACCGCTCGGCTGGAGGTCTGGGCTCTGAGCTGGCTTTAAAGTTACTGCCTTCTCCGCGCGTCCCTCCTCCGCCGCCGCCGCCGCCAGCCCCGCCGACTCCGCTCTGGGGACGCGTGTGTGGTGGTTATTTATTTATTTTCTAAGCACGCCTCTTGGTTCTTCTTTTATTCTTGGGGAAGGGGGATGGGGAGGAGAGGCGCACACACGAGCACCCACCCTGGCACGGAGACCGGGCACCGCGGAATGGAGCCCCACGCGCGCACACTGCCGGGATTAAGACCGATCACATGGGGAGGGCCGGGGGCGAGGGAGGAGAGGCAGGGCCGCCGATGTCAGTGCCG